CTCTTAACCCGCACGGCCATCATAGTTTATCATCTGTAATGGAAATCAACCCCCCAGCTGCCATCCTGCACTATGTCGGCAGGCGCTCCCCAATTTTATGCCCGCTAACCATCTCAGCGAAAAACCGAAACATCACCAGCCACGGCACCAGGGGCGGCGCCTCCAACTCCGGGAACTGGTTGTGCTGCATTGGCTCCTGCGGGAGCCGGCTTACCAAGCCCTCGGCTCCTCCGCTCGGCCACTGCTTCCTGTCGACCAGCTCGCATGAAACTAGCATAGTCACGGGCAGCCGTTGGGGCGAAGCCCCCAGAAGTCCTCCGGCTGCTCCGACAACATAAAAGTTCCGGAGATCAGGGTTAGACCTATCCAGGACTTGTGTGTACATGTCGAAGTGGGGGGGGGGGTAAGAATGACATACTCGAAAGTGCTCACATCGATCTCCGCCAGGATCAATCGGGAGTGCACTCACTGCGGAGTCCATGTAAACTACATCACCCACGCTGAGGGCCATCACCCTATAATTTGCAGGGCTCTGGTAGGAATTGCAACGCGACCTCTCTTTCTTCTCCAGTTCTAGTGACTGTGATCTTGAAAGCCCAAGCAAAACCAGTCGCAGCAATCAGAGAGCAGGCAGAGATGAAAATAGCAACCCAAGTCAGCACTCCCGAGATACTGGATTCGGAGGCAGGCACAGCGTGGTTACAATGGCAATCACAATGACACTTTGTGGTTTCCCCCTTGTCCGGAATCCAACCTCGCAGCATCCAACCTGCAAGAAGACCAGTCGCGCCCGCCACAGCGGATGTCGAATCCATGGGATATACTACCACCTTTAAATCTCGAGAAGAGACGGCCACATACTTATGCGGCGGCATTCGTCAATCACCTGCAAAGGAGAAACTGTGCAAGCGAACACTGCGAGCGAACATTCCCGTTGTAGTTTGAGGTGTTCCTCAAACTCAAACCCTTCAGAAACAAACAACATCAGGAGCCCGGGTCGGTCAGAAAGTAAGAAGCAAAAGCTCGTCCCTGCACGACTTTACACAGTCAAATGGTCTGTGTGGCATTCATGGCTTTTCCCGCTTCGAGCTTGAATGCACAAGGATGCACCGACTGAGCACCGTGCAGATATTGCAATCGCCACTGGGCTCGACCCCTCCTCATGTATAGTTTCGCAGGCCACGCTACTCCCACTCTCCAGATCTCTCAGCTTTCACTGTCTCATTCCCTTGGTTTTGTTTTGCTCCCTCCCTCCCTCCCCCCCCTTTCTGGCCAAGGGCATACCTATCAAGGTTTGATAGCCCTCTCTCAGTTTCTTTCTTTCTAGCTTGCTTGTTTGCCTGCTTGCTACGCGTATACGGTCGTTTCAAAACACTCCCCCTGCTCACAAGCGTTACCCTCCCTCTCCCTCTCTCCTTGGCAAGGAGGGGGTTCGAGGCTCCCCGGGGCCAGATGCCCACCTATGCTTCATGGGCTTGGTAGAGGAGCCGTGAAACGAGATCCCCGAGTCTCTCTGCCTCTCTCTCTCTCTCTCTCGCCTTTCTCTCNNNTGAGGGGAGGTCTGCCCCCCCCCCCCACCCCCTGCGCTGTCGCTCACCGGTTTTGGTGCGGAGCGAATGGAGGTGGGTGTTCGGAGGAGAGATCACAACAACCATCATACTAAGCAGCAGGACTCCGGTACTGACATGGCATATGGATCAAGGTTCTCAGACTCTCTCTCTCTCTCTCCGGGGAAAGAGGAGTCGGGGAGCGTTCAGCCCCGACCCCCCGTGCGCGAGCGCGCACCCGCGTGTCACGGGCGTCTCTCATTCCCCTCCACGGTTTTGCCGCAGAGGGGCTCGGCTATACGAAAGAACCATCTCCCCTGTACTTGGAGTAAATCTGCCTTTAGCCACACACCTTGCCGAGACAACGCATAAAAGCTCAAGCTCTCTCTCTCTCTCTCCCGCTCGCTCGCTCTCCTTCTCTAAGTCGTCGTTCCCTTACTCGCACAGATAATCAGAGCTGGGTTTTCGTACAAATCGTCCTGGAGTCAGGGCATTCTCCGGCATTCGATTCACATCTACCCCGGCCTAGACTACGAATTGACGGGTCCTCTGCAGCTGCGGGCACAATGGCCAGCAGGCCAATTAGCACCTGAGGCCGCGTTTTCGTTACGTCAAGTTTCCCTGCATGTGCTATGCCGAGGGCTGAAGTAGAATGATATTACGACAGACATATATAACAGAAACCAAAGTTGTTGATGGATCCCTTCTTGACAACGTCTGATTACTTCTCAGGCGACCACATACTAATCTCCTCCTTTCAGAATATGTGAACGCGTGCATGTGCTTGCCACGCGGCTTTTGAGCGGCGCCATGGCATCGCAAGTATGATTGCAGCTGTGGCGAGGCAATGACTGGGCCCGTGGCCCTCACCCAATTCAGTTGTTCTGGGAAAGCACTCGCGAAAAATACTGATCTAATTCTCACTGTCGTCTGAGCTTCAGTCAGGTTGCCGGCAGAAGCCGCAGGTCGAACATCTTGATTACGGCTACTGGTAAAGCTGAGGGCTGCTCGTGCATGTCTCTGGAATGCAGATGAAAAGCATGTGAAACATCTGCGCCAAAAGAGCTGCAAAAACGTCCTGCGACAACATAGTGAGTTTGCATGTCTACTAGCGGGAGAGGTCAACAACAGCTTCACCGCCTGTTTAGACTGCAAGTCGCAGCTTGGTGGAACGTTTGGCACAGTGGCCGGAGGTTTCAAAAAGTTGAGCTAGCAGCACGATGCAGCATGCAGCTTACAGCATCTCACAGCTGCAAGCACATGTTCTGCACCATGACCAGAATCCCGCACGTGTACAAATCATCTACAAATCATCTGTTCGCAAACCGCCTGTCTGGTCTACGGAGACTCGCATCCGCTTGGATTTTAGGGGGTTGCCCGATTCGTAGCCACCAACCGCCACACACCGAAGCTCTGAGACGCGGAGGCGGTGCGAACTATGGAACCAGTCACGTCAAGGCTTCGTCTGCAGCTTCTCAAAAGCGGCCGACGGGTGCCGTGACGTGCAAGCATGCATTGAACGTCTCCGGACCAAGTCGCTAGTCCACGCCTAATTACCAGCAGGTGTCTGCATGGAACTGGCATCGAATCGTGCCTTAGCCTTAACGGCCTGATTTGGTCTTGCGGCGCTTCATGGCAGCAGCACTTGTTCCCAAACTTTTTCTGGCTTCAGCCTGAGATCATGTGAAGCATTGGCTTTGTCCTCGTCACCGGTACATACAAGCATGTGGACCCTCAAAGCAAATAAGCCGTGCACCGACAGGTGCGGGATGCCCTCTGGAGTTGTCCCGCCGAGGGTGCAGCACACGCTGTACACCGTGCATGCTGAAAGCAGCAGAAGCACAACCTGAGAGTTATTGCCACGTTAACTGAAACGCCGGCCGAGAAAGAGGGAGGGGGAGAGAGGGAGGGGGAGAGAGAGAGAGGGAGAGAGAGAGAAAGAGTGGGAGCAATGATTGGTTGGCAGAGGAAGCCATGTGCTGATCAAGGGGGATGTACAGCAGTCCGGGCACATTGCTGAACGGCATCAGAGGAGGCTCCGCGGCTGCAGGCACGTAGAACGCAGTTTCACTCTGCAAGGTCATCCTCAGTCACATTGACAGCTTCGGCATCGCTTCGTGCTGCATAGGTGATACCTACAACACATTCATCCCTGTGCAGCCCACCATCGAGTGAAGGAAGATAGATGGAAAGCCATGCAGGTGGCCAGGTCGAGCAGGAAGGCCTGCGAAGCCGTTTTGCGCTTCGTAAAGCTTCGCATGAACTCCCATCGTAACCGCGCCTGATTAAGGTTGAAACGGAGAAGCTCCGGCAACTGCCGCCGCCTCAAATCAACTCGCAGCTAAAACCTTGCATGACATTGCACCCATCTCGTGTGGGATGGTGGCGCAGGGGTTCGGGGGGGCGGTGCTGGGCGGGTCACACACGCGAGCGATTGGAAACGAATCGCTCCTTTTGATGGGCTGGGCCAACACCGGAAGTGCTGCCGAACCTTTCGCGGCCTCGCATCGTTCCCGGCGAGCTTGTGGACGGGTTTCTTTTATAACATGTTGTCTGTGACTGTGTCTTGTATCGGCCAACACGCTCTCGAGAGCGCTCGTTTCACACAGATAAATGGGAGGCGTCACTAGCTCCAACATGTTCCGATGATCGTCTGCCTGCCGAGCCGCACAGCCATTGTGGGCATTGCGAACAGCAGGAGTGGCTGCGCCACATCAAGGAGTTCTCGAAGATCCTCCAGAGGTTGTGTAGCATGATGCAACTCCGTCGCATCTGCTTGTACAACCAAGCCTGCGGAACTGCCGAGAGAACGGACGTACATGCCTTTGAAGATCTTTCAGGCGTGTTCTCTGTGAGGCTGTGGAATCTTATGGGACTCTTATGGAGTCATGCAAAATGCTGAACATGCTGTGCCGAGTCTGGAGCGAGGTAATAGCTTGGCAAGTGCTCGGATGCGAGGCCAGCTCCAAAGAAGCGCAATGCGTCCAGCATTGGAAGAAAGTATGGCAACCTTTCGCAATACTGGCTTAAGTCAACCGAGTGCAGTGACTGAAACCCTTGCATCGCTCATGAGGCCCGTTTCAATACATGGTCTGGTAAGAATGTGCTCCGAATGCCGAGTAGATCCCTCGATATCTGAAATGTCTGTTCTTTGGTCCAAGCGACATCGCCAACATCCGAACGGTAAGCGGGGTAGCCGAGGCCAAGCTGCTTCGAGGGTGCCTTCCATGCAGCTTCAGTGGAGACATCAGGCAACATGATGCTTTGGAGCCTGACACTTGCAGGCGACAGGTTAGGCAACGGGTACTGTGACTCAGAAGAGTTCTTCCTGCTTAAACGGATTCGTGAAGTCGGAGGTGCCGGAAGGCTCCATTGTGAACCATCCAGGCCGAAGTTGTCTGATGACCCATGCAAGTTCCGCTTCCCACGGAGTCAACTCTTGCTTCACAGTGCAGGGAGCAGATCAAGCTACCATAAGACTACGTCGTATGCGCGAAGGACACTTATAGCAGAGGGTTTAACAACGGGGTCTGATAAGGTACAATGTCACCTACTTTTCGGGAAGACGTGAAACGAGAAAGCGCTTCGCTCTAACATGCAAGCCTTCTCTTGAGGCGAGCACTCGCAGGCGCTTGCAATGTAGTGGCAGTCACGACCAACCAAGAGGTCTGAGAACATAATGATGGCGACGTTGACGAAGAGGGTGGGCGGCACTATCAAACGAAAGCCCAGCCAGGCGGTTGAACGGGGCATTGAAGGCAATCACGTTGCTCGCTTGCTCGGTCGTCGTGACTGCAGCTAGCAGCGATGCTCAAAGTGGCATCGTCGCGCAACCGGCGCGCCGCTAAATTTCTGTGCGCCTGTCGGTGCCGAGCGCGGAGCCGCCCGCCGAAGGACAACAGATGACAACAGCGAGCTTGTTCAGGATCTCCCGTTTGATGGATGCCGTGTTGCGCTGCAGGGTCGTGGTGGATGCCAACATCATGGCATTTCTGGGTGGTGTTTCTTCTGCGGTATCGGAAGGTCCCTGACTTGTGGACTGGTGACTGCCAGTAGCAGAACCGTGGCTCCCGTTTGACTGGTCCAAAATGTGCGCCCCTCCGCCTCGCCCGATCCCAATTCCCAGACCACCGAGCTTCCAAGCCTCATCAAGCCAAGGGAAAGGAGGGAAGCTCGTGCGCAGGGAGCTTTCACATTTGTTGTAGAAATGAACCGGCAGTTTGTGGTCAGCAGTTTACCCTGTTTGCGCGATCTAGAGCTACACCAGTTCCCGAGCAAACAAAGCTATCTTGATGGTCCATGCCTCGATTGTTTCCACCACGAAGCACATTAAACAAACAGGCGCACCACAACACACCCTGCAGGCACTCGTTGTGGCAGCGTTCTTGCTACCAAACCTATAATGAACCGGAGCTGTTTTGTGGTTGCTGTTTGCGCATATTGGGACGCATTTCTGACAGAGACGTGGACAGGGCGCTTTCTCCGGGAGAAGATGCCCAAACGAAGCTTGAGATCAGAGAGCTTGAAAGTGTCACCGCTGTCTTGCGCAAGCCCTCTCACGATCACCTGCGGCCATGCCTTCACCGTCGAGATTGCGGACGTTGTGTTGCTGCACTGCATCTGTGCTTGTTCTGCGATGCCGCATTGTGCTTGTCTTCGACAAACCGGTCACCACAGACGAGTTAACGTGAAGTGGCGGGTAGACTGTTACCCTGCCTTGACTCACGTCGGGCTTCCTCACGCTGAGGATGCTCGTCCAGTTGGGGTGCAGAAGATGGCTGAACCTCTGCCCGAAAAAGAACTGGCAGGTGCGATGCATTCGCATGGAGGAGAGTGTAAACGAATCTGAGCGACATTGCAAGGTGCACCTTGTCTCAGCCCTTTCTTAGCCATGTTGAAGCATCAAATTCAAAAGGCCAGCAGCCGGATGAAGCAGGATTCTTGGTTTGTGCTCGACCAAGTCACCTAAGGTGCTGTCATCCGCTGCCTGCTTTCCTAGTTCAGCACGACATGCTTGCAGAATGCACCTAGATATTCAAGTCAAGCATCGTGTGACAAGATCAAGCATGCGAGTAGCTGCCCTTGCCTGCTCCTGTCGGTGAAATCCGATGCTGCAGATTTCCTCTGAGTTATCCGTCAGGCCTGTTCCTGCTCTAGTTGATCAGCTTCCCTTCGTAACCTTTGCGCTTCTGATTTCCTTGAGTGGCGGATAGATCTGATTTCGACAGAAGCGAAAATCGATGCGGTCTAAGCTGCACAATTTGCTCTTCAAGGAAGCCTCCAGAATGTCTTCCTGGCTGTCAAGGCTGGGCCTTGGTGGCCTTTGGCTGAGTTCTGTTCGGTTCCTTCGGTGCCTTGGTGGTTTCGGAGGGCGCCGAGTGCTTTGAGGTGTCTTCGCATAACAAACGCAGATGCTGCCAGCATGACCTTGAGTGCCAAGAGCAGTGCCTACCCAGAACTGCCCTAGCCGAACCATAGTCATAGTCACGTTTACTTCTGAGGCCGTGGCCCGCACAGGGCTGCTTGACGTCCTTAGAATAGGGAATCAGAATCCACGTGATCCGGAGGTGACGGCTTTCGGCCCGTGTGCTCAATGTGCTCAGCAAAGCGTCGCGGCTGCTGACTCTTTTCGGTTCGCCCTCGGCACCGGGCATACCGGGCCCCTGGTGCTGAATCCGCGCTTCCGGGCGTACAGAGCCGACAAAAACGTCCAACAACACCCTTCCGCCTGGGTTGAAATCTGCCATCTGGACCACGCCAACAAGATCGCTGGATTCTGTCCATGCTCAGGCTGCGCAGCATCCAGATGTCTTCTGAAAACCTATCATTCGACCACGCTACTACCAGGCCTTTTGCCTTTGCCGTGTCGCACGTGCTGTGACGTGTGAGGCCCCGAAGCACCCGACAGGCAAACGCTTCGAGCCATGTCCGCAAATGCCTCTCATGCATTGCTATGGCTTGCAGGGTGTTCATGCTCATGCTCTTGAAGTCCGGCAAAGCGAAGCCATGCGAAGTCTCTGCAGACACCTCTTGTCCTGAAGAGTCTGAGGCCACACAGGCCAGAAATGAATAGTGAGCGTATCGAGAAACTGCACATGGATATCGCAATGTCTCTTCCGTCTCAGACGTGTGGGACCCGTCGACGTTTGCCCCTCGAGTCAGGATACAGGAAAAAAGGGCTGAATGGAAGCCCATGTGATTCCATGTGGCCTGGCTGGGCTGCTTGTCCAACGTGTCCTGCAGTGCCCACTTGAAGGCCAAGACGTATCGTGCCCTCGAAAGCTTTCCCGGAGAATGCAACATAATGCAACGACAGCTCTGTTTTCCTAAGCGCAGCTGCCCTCATCCTCATATTCGGAGTAGTAACTGTAGTAGCTATATTCGACATCATCTCGCACCCCTGAGGCAGGAACAAACTGTCGAGGAGTATAGGGCAGCACCCGACGTGTCACTACAACATGCGCTTGGGGCGGCTGCGGCCTTCTGTTATGCCCATTAAGTCTCTGTGACGGGTATGCCGCGCACTGCCTGGACTTTGGCTTTGCAACCCGTTGCGAGAGGTCACGGACCGCATGATGTGACCTGGACAGTCTGGGTGGGGGCAGGCGGACTCGCTCTCGCCTCATCATGTAGAGCTGAGGCCTGCGAGGTGGGGTTTGTGGCAGTCTTTCTCGAGAGCTGGAAGCTCTCCGCCCTCCGCGCCCTCCCCTTGGCGCACTTCGCAAACGCAAGCGGCACGAGGGTTCCTGCCTGTCAGCAGGCGTCCGTGGTCTCCTCCTGGCGCTTCGGCT